AGAATGCAAAAAGTTCTTGGAAAGAAAAAGTTGCCAAGCAACTTGTGGAAAGCCCTAGTAGACCCTAATACACATAAAAAACTTCACACACGCCTCGTACATTGACGCTCAAATATGCGCTTCCGCAGCGTCTTGTTAACAATACTGAACACTGGAATAAATGATAAATAATTTCGGTTGTGGAACAAAAAAGTACCTCACAGACAGCATTAAAGCATTACAAAACATGCAAGCAAACAAAACAACCAACCTGTTTTATCGAGTTCAGAGCTCTTATTTTCTGACAATGCTTTTGGAAGATCAAAAATGTAGCTTTCTACAATTTCATCTATGACATCCAGTCTCTGAACAGCAGGATGTCTAAGGAAATCAAGAAGATCTGTGATTGTTGTTTTTGTAAGTATCATTTTATCAAAGAGTCCTGTTATTTTCCCATTTTCTCCTTCCTCCAACTTGTCCACATCATCAATTGACAACTTCATGGCTGCAGCCAAACCCCTCCAGTCATTAATGGTATTGATGTTCAGCATCCATTCAATTTTTGTGCGTAGTGCAAAAGGAATGTCCTTAATAAGAGAACCTAAATTCAAACAAATAAACCAGTTATTAAAACTAGCCTGATAAACTGCTTTCCAAAATGTACATAAAAGATAAAAGCAACAAGGAGTGTTCAAAACTTCACAAAAATATTACAGTGCAACCTTGATATCCCAGTGGGAGGAGGGTGGGCTACTCCCACATAGCCATACCTATATCATATAATATCATATAGGTATGTGTCGCCCCAGTGGATTGGGTTCTTGGTCTGAAAACGAGTATAGAAAATTATACTATGTCAAACATATCATAGCCAAAATTATTCAAGTTAAGCCAGGATGCACACAATAAGCACTGGATACAGTTACTACATAATGTATAAACTACAGACTGAGACTCCGCCAAGCAAATTGAAACTAATTTAAATTTATCACTCTGACATCATTTTGTACTGTGCTATTAAAACATACAGCTGTAGGCCTATATTAATTAAAATGAGATGTGGATCTTAATTTGTTATGTTCTGCTATGTTCCTAATGCAGTTGCAAGGAACCATTTTTTACCCATTTCCTTCCACACTGACTCAACTGTGAGAATGCTGTCAACAATCAATAGCAATCAATAGCATGAAATACATTATAATAATTTATGCATTAGGTTTCGTGTATGAAACGCTAGGATGTTTGAATGAAAGTCATTACAATTCTGACATACCGGCCAAAGCAGAGGAAAGGAATGGCTGAGCCGTACTCCAAATTGAACTATATACACGTAGGGCCTATTTTAATTCCTAATTCAATCTTTTAGCCTCAAAATGAGCAATGTTATACAATAGCATATGTTATATGCTTTTATTATATAGAGTGTTTTACTGGAAAATATACCACTCCGGGACCCGAGTGGTTTATTTTCCATAATCTCACACGTGAGTTTATCGATGACGTAATTTCGGTCATTTCCTTTTGTCTATATAATAAAAAGAACATTACACGGCGGCTTGAAGATATGAATTTTATTTTCTCGTGGCAAAACAATATTTTACGAACGAGCGCAGCGAGTGAGTAAAATATTGTTTTGCCACGAGAAAATAAAATTCATATCTTCGCGCCACCGTGTAATATCCTCTAAATAATCTTATTTTAATTGCTGTAATTTCCTTTAGGATCACCTGCTACCCCTCGTAGGTTTCTTTCTTCTTGCTCCAAATCATCTGCCAAATCAGCATTGTTAATGGCGGGATCTCGTAAGGCTTGTATAAACAGGGCAAATGCTTTAGGTCCTCTCTTTTCCAGTAAACTGAGCAAGGTTTGTGTTCCAGTGGTAGCCCCACGCTGCGAAGTTTTCGCCACGATTTCCTCCAAGTCTGCCGTACTAAATATTGCTTTAAGATGTGCAGATAAAACCACTGGATTTGAAATCCTCTTCATTATTTCAGAAGTCTTGTTTGCAAGGACCTTTTTGTGAATAGGATCCATGTTCAGACAAGAATTGTAGCCAAATTTTTAAATTGTCAGTGTACTCAGCTGTCTTTGTTTCTTCTTTTGAGAGGTTAGCCAAAGTGTAACATCACTTTCTCACCACGGATGTGATGGTGAATGTTCCTGTCCAATACATAAAAAGAAAATAAATAATAGAAAAGATTCAAGGCACAGGTTATTCTCTTGTAGTACTGAACATGTACTCATATTGTGTCTCTTTCTATGGAGTATCAAGAAAGCTTGTTTCAGAACAAGAGTCAGTCAGTATTGAGTGACGAGTCAAGATAGACCAGGTCAGGAGTGAATACTGAAAGTAGTGATTAGATTAGTGTTAAAAATGGAAAAAAGTGATTAGGGTTAAACAATGTCATCAGTGTTGTCATGAAAGATATTAATCATCGTGGATAATGTGTATAAAGGGTTTAGTTTTATCGTTTGTCTCACGATGGTCACTTTGATATTGATCGCCATTTCCCCAGTCATCCGTCATATCAATTTTCCCTGTTTAATTTCTATCATCATTTTCGTACTTAAATCTCAATCTTAATTTTAGAAAAATTTTTTCAAAACACAAATTAGTCAGAAAAATGATACCCTAGGTACCCTACGAAATTGATGATGGATTAGACCAGGAACATGATAATAATCTGATGATTTGGGAAATGACAGAGATAATCACAAAAAGTAGATTGAGTTGGTGTAGAAATCATCATTTTATAACTACTCCTACAAATATATGATAATTTACATAAGAGTTCAAACATCTGCTGATTTGACAGAGTTGTTAATGTTTAATGATTTACAGAATATTCTAGAAGTGGGTTTTTTGAATTTAAATTACATCACAAATTTATCTGGTATATTTGTAGAAATCAGTTTTTGTTAAAAAAAAATTATGTTGCTTATAACTGTACCCCGAAGAAGATTAGTTTACTTCTCTATTCTTGTAAGTCAGTTATTTCTCCTGTGATGGTGGCAGATTCAGCTTGAACCAAACGTTCTTGGTTTCTGGTAAGTTTTACCCTTTTCTTTATATTCTCCAACCGCTCTTTATTCTTTAGTTGTCGAATATATTTATGTCGCATTCGCTTCTTTGTTATCGTTTTTTTGATTTCCTGAAAGAGTGATGTCCATTTCTCAAATTTTTCTTCAGTGGTGTCTAAGTCATCCTCGGAGACCCAGGGGCGGTCAGCCGAGCCAGAAGAAAAGGCGCGACGAAAGTCTTCAATGAAAACTTTCGTCGCGCCTTTTCTCCCGACCCGACTGACTGCCCCTGGGTCTCCGAGGATGTGTCTAAGTTTACCTTTGGTAATTCCTGCTTGATTTCTTCAAGGTCAAACATTATTTTCACTTCTGGCGTAGAATAAATCTTCAATCATGTTTGATAAGATGTGGTAATCTCATTTGTTACTTGAATCATTTTTTCTTGCAATTGGGCTTGAGTATAAGGCATTGTTAAAATCTAACAGTTTTACAAAAGCAGATTGGAAATATCACCTTTTTCACTGATAAGCGACTTTATTAGTTTTCAATCTTACATCCAAAATTAAAACAATTCTGAAAATGTTAAAAATTAAAAAACCAATATTGATAACAAAAATGAAGCTTTTGATTGGTTGAAAAAATCGCATGATATAGAGACTGTAACCATGGTTTCATAATATTTTGACATCTGTTGTAATTTAATAGATTCAAGTTGTTGCGGAAAAAATAACATTGAGATTTAAAGAAATTTTCTAAACATATAATAAGAAGCACGACCTCTGTTGATTTAAACAGTTTATCAATTGAAGAATTAAAAAAGATTAAAAAAGATTAAAAAAAACAAACTCAAGAAAGAGTTTAACAATTATAAACAACAAAAACAAAAGCAAAAACTTATAGCTGATGTAATGGCAATAGAAAAGCAAAGAAAAAAATATTTCTAAAGCTAAATCTAATCCTAAACTAATAAAACAAAAACTAAAAAAACAAATAAAATCATTTGAGGAATATTTTCAGGAATGTATTAAAAAGAAAACAATTCCCGCCGATACTCCTTCATATCTCAAAAAGGCTCTAAAACGAGCTTTGAAAGAATATCAACAAGGTATTAAAAAAGAGAAATCAGCTCTTGACAGTTTTGCTGACAAATACACTATCGATGGAGAAGCAAAAGTTATTCCAATTCAATATTTTGTAAACAAATCAACACAATTAAAATACTTTTTTGGAAGTCATGGCAATATTAAAGTTCGTCTTGTATTAATCTGCCTCATGGAGAAACAAAATCTTGATAAAAGAAAAACTATTATAATTCAAGATAGAGCTTATTTTCAATCAGAAACTCAAAACAGAGACAAAAAATGTTTTCTTTGGTCAGTATTAAGATATCTTCATGAGTGCCAAAATCCAAATCCTCAAAAAATGAACGATTTAAAACAGTATGAAAACGAACTCAATTTTAAAGGAATAGATTTTCCAGTCAAATTAAAAGATATAAAAAAGTTTGAAAATCAAAATCCATCAGTTCCAGGAATTAATGTATTTTCAGTCAGTGACAACAAGTTTTACCCTCTCCAAATGACTCAAAAAGATTGTAAAAACACCATAGATTTATTTCTTTTTGAACAAGATGGTAAATCTCATTACTCGCTTATAAAAAATTTCTCTCGTTTGTTTAGGTGTCATATTACTTCACGAACCAATGGTCTAACTCATATTGCAAAAAATGCTTTACTCATTTCACCAAAAAGGGCCTTTTTGAAAAACACCTCTCATATTGTTCCGCCAATGAAACAGTTGCTGTAAAAATGCCAGCAAAAAACACAGCACTCAAATTTCAAAATCATTACAAGAAATTACCCATCCGTTTTGTAATATATGCGCATTTTGAACGCTTTACCAAACCACTTTCCACTTGTGAACCCTACCCTCATGATTCTTATACTTACTCGAATCAAAAACACGAGCCATCTGGATTTTGTCTCTATCTCAAAGGTCGTGATGGAATTAACAAACTATTTAATCCAATAATCCATACAAAACAATTGGACAATGAAGATATTGCATCCATCTTTGTCTCAAAACTTCAAGCAATAACAAACAACATTTACAAGGATTACTACAAGAAACCAAAACCTCTTAAACTCACAAAACAAGAACAAGAGGAGTTTGATAAAGCTGAATTTTGTCACATTTGCAAAAAAGAATTATACGATGATGATTCAACAGGCAAAATGCTTAAAGACCGTGACCATTGTCACTTCACTGGAAAGTATCGTGGAGCCGCACATAACTCATGCAACTTACAATGTCGGAAACCAATGATTCGTCCGGTCATATTTCATAATCTTCAGGGTTATGACTCACACCTCTTTATCAAACAACTTGCAAACTGACAGGTCAATTAACTTGCATTCCATGAACAGGGGAGAATATATTTCTTTTTCCAAGAAAATAAAAGTTGATGAGTATAAATCTCGAAAAAATGGTGAAACAGTTTCACTCAATTTTGAAATCCGATTTATTGACTCGTCCAAGTTTCTTCAAACATCTTTGGCTAATCTTGTTTCAAATCTTCAACCGTCTGATTTTAAGAATACAAACGCTATAATTAAAAATAATGTCGGGCTTCTCACTCAAAAAGGAGTTTATCCTTACGACTATGCCAGAAGGAAATAGATCACTTGTTTATAACCCTAGTTCTTCCCATTCTCACATATGGTCTCGCTGTGTATGGCGCTTCTGATTCTGATTTAAATGTTATACTGCGTTTTTTAGACAGGTGCCATAAGCGTCATTTTATCTTTCAAACAGTCAGCATCTTTAATCTTTTAGAACAGCAAGATAAATCCGTTGTCAAAAGAACTATTAATAATCATATGCTAGGTGCGATCATTCCCAAAGAAAAAGAATTAGTATATAATTTGCGTAGGAGAAGGTGTCACTTTCCTCAGATACAAACGGAGAGATACTTTTGTAAATAGACTTATTTTTAAATATAATTTAGTATAGTGTTGTTCTATCTTATATTACTATTGTATTTTATCGTGTAACTTTTCATACATTTTCACTGTAACTTAGGATATGTATTTTTATCCTTTTATTGAATAAAGACTATTATTATTATTATTATTATTATTACTATGTTTCATCTATTGATAAATTCTCAGAAACACGACTTCCTCCAAAATTAGAGTTTTATTCAAGACTAAACGATGAAGATATCTCAGAAGAGGATTACCAGCACGCACTCAATGCGTGGAATACTTTTAATTGTAAAACTATTCGTGATTATCACGACCTCTGTCTCAAGTCTGATGTTCTTTTGCTTGCAGATGTGTTTGAAAACTTTCGAGCAAGTTGTTTAAAGCGTTATAATCTTGACCCAGCACAATACTTTACATCTCCCGGATTGGCTTGGGATGCGTATCTCAAAGAAACAGGTCAAGAATTGCAACTACTTCACGATTACGATTGAAAAAGGTATTCGTGGTGGAATAACTCACATGTCAGAAAGATATGCAGAAGCAAACAACAAATATATAAACGATTATAATCCTGTTTTATTCAATGTCTTGACGCTAATAATCTTTACGGTTGCGCGATGTCACAAAGGCCTCCAACTCATGGGTTTAAATGGTTGAAAGATTTAACTGTTGAATCAGCAAAAGAAATACTTAATCAAAGAGTAACAAATCTCGGTTATATATTTCAATTTGACCTTGATTACCCTGAGAAACTATGGGAATCACACAATGACTATCCTCTTGTTCCAGAAAAACTCAAGATTGACAACACAGAGAAACTAGTTGGTAATTTTTATCCAAAATCACACTATGTCTTACACTATCAAAATCTCAAGCAATATCCCAGTCTTGGAATGAAACTCACCGCAGAACAAAGAGGAATCTCATTTCAACAATCTCCCTTGATGAAATCCTACATCGCAAACAATAAAGAACTCAGAAAGTTTTATTTTTTCAAATTAATGAATAACTCAGTGTTTAGAAAAACAATTGAAAACATAAGAAAACGGTAAAATGTAATATTACTCGATAACAAGAAACCAGCCCTCAAATTATCATCAAAACCTAATTTTGACCATGTTTTGACCGTATTTGACTGAGGTGTATTTTAACAAACCAATATACGTTAGTCAAGCAACTCTTGATCTATCAAAAACACTAATGTTCGATTTTCATTATAATTTCATCAGAGAAAAGTATGGAAATAAAGCTGAGTTACTCTTTACTGACACCGATAGTCTCATGTTCCAAATTGAAACAGATGATTTTTATAAGTATATCAAAAGATATTGGAAAAAGATTTGACACAAGTGATTATCCTGAGAATCACAAATCAGGAATCAAAACAGAAAAAACAAAAAGTAATTGGAAAATTTAAGGATGAAGCAGCTGGAAAACAAATCTCACACTTTGTTGGTCTCAGAGCAAAACTCTACAGTTACAAAATTGAAGATGATGATGTAAAAAAAGCAAAAGGAATTTTAAAAAATGTTATAAAAAAAGAGATTACATTTGATGATTATAAGCAGTGTTTGTTTTCGGGTGAGGAGCAAATGAGAAATGTGAATATTATCAGAAGTGACAATCATGATATTAACTCTATGAAAATGAATAAGTTAGCATTATCTGCAAATGACGACAAGCGCACTGTGATGAGGGATAAATATATATACAGGGGCTCTTAGATAAAAAAAATAGTTCTAAGATTTTAATTTATAAATAAATGAATTACGCAGAGGAAGAAATTGAGAGATTTATTGAGATTCTCAAATCTGTTGATATATCACCATCACCACAATCAAACAGAGTTACGTGCAAACAATGCCACTGTCCAAACTTTTTTATTGATAAGGGATATTACTATTGCTCAAATTGTTGTTTTTGGTCTTGGTCATGTTCTTGGCTATTACCATAAATCTGAGTATGAAAGATTTTACTTTAGACACAAATCTATCTATCAAAGAAAATATCACTATCAAAACAAGATTAAAGAGGTGAGGGACAAGTTTAAATTAGTTTTATCAGAGGAGGAACAGTATCGATTATAAAAAAAACTGATGGAAATAAATGATCAGAAACTCTCCAAATTAAACAAAACATTCAAGAGAAAGAGATCGATTAATATTTACTACATAATTGAAAAATTATTAAAATCTCAACGAAACAAACAGAGTAAAAACATAGAGTTAAATCTCTCTCCAGAAACTTCAAAGTTTTAGGAAAAATAGTTTAAATTTTATCATTAATTTAATACACACTGTTGTGTATTAAATTGACAAACTCCTTTGTGAAAAAACCAGTAAATGATTTCTGTTATAAATCCAATAATTGATGACTTTTTTAATCTTGTGTTTGCAACCTAAACTCTACCCCTTCCTGTTTATATTTATCACAAAACTCACTAAAGGCGTATGAAAAGATGAGGTGATTTCTAAGTATGCTCGAGTTTGTTTGAAACAGTAAATCGACTAATCCATCGTTTAATCTGGTTAGATTTTCGTAGCTTGTTAACTGCATTTTATTTATAGATTGGTTAATCTTTAAGCTGGAATTAATTCATTTAACAAATTTAAAACTGTATTTATTTTCATCATTTTAGCTAGTTGCTGTTTAATGATGTTTTGCTTTTCTACGAATTGCAGAAATACTTGAAGCATCTATATTCAACTCAATCGCTGCGGTTTTAACACTAACAAATAATTTTTCTTTACTTGTTTGCAAATTGATAGAAATAATAGACTTATCATTTGATTTTTGATTATTTTCTTTTTGCGTTAACAGTTGGAGAATTTTTAACCGATTATCTGTTTTACAATTATTAATATAGTCCACCACCATCCCCTCTGGTATTACTCCTTTAATACTTTCAAAAACAAATCTGTGCTGATAGTATTTTTTAGGCTTATCAAATTTTTTATCACAAATTGAAAATTGATAATAACCACTTCCACAAATATTCATCTTTAAAATGCTTTTTGTTTTAAGGCTTAAAATCTCACCTTTCTTTGAAGTGGCGTAATTTGTAAAAACTGGATGGCAGTTAAGTCTCTTGTCTAAAATGAAAACTCTTTGCTTTTGCATTTTATTCAAATCTCTAAATCTTTAATCCATCTTTATCAATTCCAAAGAAGTCGCACTGACTAATAATGTGCTGATTCTGGATTCTCCCAAGATAATTCCTTCTTTTTGTTAGTTATTTTCTTTGCTCTTGCAAGACATTTTTTTCGTCTTTCTTCATCATGATGAAGCAAATAACCTTTATACTTTGAATAACCGAAATGTACTTTCTTTCCATCTTTAAGTGTTAAAAAATACTTACTATTTTTTCGCTTGGAAAAATCAAGAGCAGTAGCTCCAAGTTTTAACGCTTTTTTGGTTAGTTTTGCAAAATCTTTTCCAGTTACAACGTTCTTTGTTGGTTGAGTTGTTTCAATAGTTTCCTCTTCTTCAACATCAGATTCAGTTGTTGGTTTCATTTTATTTAATTACTTAGATAAATATATCCATCCCGGTCAACAGAAATTTGTTCAAGACAATCCATTATTTCTCTCAAATTCTTTTTTTTTAATCGTTATAAAATCAAATAGTTTACACTTAAGTACGCTAACAAAAGCCTCATCATTGTTAAAAACATCAGGTCTGATTAAAGTATATTTTTAAAAAGTTTTTTTTCTTTTCTAATTTTTCTTATTTTTTTTTGATGTCTCTGTTATCTAAAATATCAGGTTCTCCTTTGTCAACATCACACAAATAAACAATTTTATACTTATCTTTATCTTCAACTGGAACAGAGTAAAAATTTACCTCATGTGGATCATTTTGTATCTCCAGAGGACTATATAATCTACGTTCAGCAAGTGGTGGCAACCACCCAATTAAATTTCCTTGATTTAATGCTTGTCTCTCCTGGGGATTTTTTACTACAATATCAAACTCTTCACTGATACAAATAGCATTTTTTCCTCGCGTTGAAAAACATACTCCTCACTGTTTAAAAAATAAAATCCATATCGTTTTTTATTGTAATGTAAAACTGGAAAATATTCATCAATCATTTCTTCCATTGATGAGTAAAAATTTATTTTTTTTTTTCAATAAAATCTAATTCACTTTTAATTCGCATTTTTATTTAATGATTAAATAAAAAGGCACTTAAAATGTACGATTTTAAATTAAAACTTGCAAGACACAATCCATAAATATTGTACGATGATTCAATTTTTAATAGTCTTATCGTCTCATATGTTTATTCAAAATATAAAAACAGATTGGTTTCAAGGAGATTTAATTTCAAACCAGAATCAAAAAAACATCTTGCCTATCATTATGACTATGAAAATAAAATTGCAAAAATCATGAATTTGTAATTCACTGTTTCAAGTGGCATAAAAAAAAGCCTCAAATGAGGAAAAAATTAAAATTCAGACGGTTTAACACCTCTATTCCATAAATCTGAGGCAAGTTTAATAATTCTTTTTTTTATACTATCGTTTTGAAAATCTTTTCTTTCATAATCTTCTCCTTCATAGAGGAAACTTATTATACCAGTAAACAAACCTTCAAAAGCTGAATCATCAGTTTCTCCAAGTTCAACAGTGTAAAGATTGTTTGTAATATTCTGAACATTGTCAAGAATTTGATTAAATTTCTCAACTCGACTCTCTCGCAGGTGACTCATTCTTTGTTAGCGATAATTCATCATCTGGGTCTGGCGAATAAAGTTTGAGAAGCTGCAGGTCGATTTGATTGATAAGTTCGTAGTCTCTCTTTGAGGGAAAAACGACGTTATCAACAATGTGTTGTGTTTTGGTTGCTGACTTGAATCCCATTTTGTTGTATTTTATACAAAACGCGTCTGTTTACCTCTGATTGCTTAAAAAACAGGAAACCCACTTCTAGAATATTCTGTAAATCATTAAACGTTAACAACTCTGTCAAACCAGAGATGTTTGAATAATGTTATGCAAATTATCATTTATTTGTAGGAGTAGTTATAAAATGATGATTTCTACACCAACTCAACCTACTTTTTGTGATTATCTCTGTCATTTCCCAAGTCATCAGATTATCATGTTCCTGGTCTAATCCATCATCAATTTCGTACGTAAGCATCTTTTTTTTTTGGTTGATTTGGATGATTTTGAGGTTGATATTTTTAGTAGGGTATCATTTTTCTGACTAATTTGTGTTTTTAAAGAATTTTTCTAAAATATAGATTGGGATTTGAGTGCGAAAATGATGACAGAAATTAAACAGGGAAAATTGATATGACGGATGCCTAGGGAAATAACTGGGATAATCCAAAAAAGTAGGTTGAGTTGGTGTAGAAAACATCATTTTATAACTACTGTCATCAGTGTTGATTAGACATTAGTGACTGGGATTCCTGGCAGAGTTAAGCACTGACTGTGGTGATAAGGATTAAAGGGATATGTCTTATGAGCTGCAAGACCTCCATCTTGATGCTTCACAATTTTTATGTCTTTCATTACGGCTAAAGTAAGCAGAGTATAAAAGATCATACATTTTTCAAAGTTTTTCCAATAAAACAATAATTGAAAATGACTTGAGCACTTCAATTAGCTTGTGTAACTATATTCATTTTTTCCCTTTACTTTGATGTCATTGATTTTGTCTTTCTTTGCTTTTATGACCTCTACTATACTTACTGCAATCTAATATGTTTTAGTAAAATCCAACTAGTGGTCTATTATCAATGCTGCATTCTGATTGGTTGAGCTACTACTAGGCTATATGTTATAGCCCACTCGTAGCGAAAAGCGCTGGCTTTGAAAACCAAAACAATGGCGGCTGAATCGCGTTTTGCTAGCTAAAGTTGTTTTGCCTCAATATATTTGACCAACTAGTTGGATTTTACCAAAACAATTATTCCTCTCGCCCTCATGGCTCTCAGTCAATAGCCCATTTGGCATTCGGCCTCATGGGCTATTGACTCAGAGCCCAGTTGGGGTGGAGGAATTGTTAAATAGTCACACAAGCATTGTTTCCAGATGTTTATGCAAACAGACTGTTGTTATTTTGGCTGAGGTTGACTTTTTTTATACAGAAGCCTGAGCTCATGCAGTTTATATGCACCCAGCTGTATATATATGGGCTATTGCATTTTTAACCAGTACCTTGCCCCCTACTCCCCCCGCCCCCCTACCTGATTGAGAAACCATGGAATTGTTAGGGGTAAGTTCTAAAAATTGAGGATGTCGTTGTGGGTAGGGTAGAAAAAGTATGGAATTCTTCGGGGGTGGAGCTTCAATTTCCACAAAATTCTTCAGGGGTACACCCATATT